TGGACTCTTAACGTGCCTGTTAAGAGTCCCTTAATGTGTCCAAAGTGAGGATCCATGCACACACCTTAGTCACACAACCTCAGCAGCTTTCAGCTGCTCTAAGTTTGTTACTGGGTAGCAGTCTGGAATTGTGGTAGTTCCCATCTCTCTTTATAAGACTGCTGGTTGAACAGTAGTTTTGTGGTGAGATCACAAAAATACCTCTTCCCAGATGCAGAGTACCAGCTGGACTTGGTCTGTGTGACAAGTGACCACTGCATCAGGAGTGCAGCACTGAACAGAAGGGAGCCTCTGCTTCAGGGCCCTGGCCTCTGCCTGGCTTTGAGTGCACCAGGAAGGGGTGCCCATCACACATGGATGGGCACTGCTGGAGTGGCACAGACACAGTTCTGGGCCTTCGATTGCTCCCAGTGAAATGGCAGAAGCCTGTCTCATACAACTGTGTTAATAATTTAGTAAATATACAGTGCTTACACCAGTGCTGTAAAGCATTGGCTGTACCTGTCAGTGCTGCCTAAAGATGGGAAACTGAGGCCCAGGGTCACAGACTGTGCCAGCAGCAGGTTGGCGCACCATCTTCAGAGCATGACGTTGTCCAGATGCATTGCCCTCAGTTCATTTGGGATCTGAAGCAAGTGGTGCTTGATCAGTGTTTGTGGGAGAAGAGATCCAGTCTTGATCTCTGTCATGTTTTTACCTGGGAAGAATTTTTTTTGTTATCCACCTTGCGTTGTGTGTTTCTGGACACTTACCCCACCTTCCTTGGGACTTCCTCCCTTCTATCAAAGGCATACTGGCCATCTTGGGCTGTCCTGAGAGCTAGGTTTCAGGGATGCCTGAGCGTGAGACCTCAGCAGTGCTGAATACTGGGCTGTAACTATGTGTTTTACTGATTATTTGTGATTACTCTTGCTGGGAGACAGCCCATCCCACCAGGAGCATGTGGTCAGCTCCTCTTACGATGGGTCACAGGCAAGATATTTTGGTTACTGCCCCACGTTCTCCTGTGTACCAGGTCATTCTAATTTGGAGTTGCTTATTTGACTGAAGTATGTTTAAGCTACCTCAAATTTCATTCACAGTGAGGTCAGGTAAAAACCAATATTTGAAATATGCACACTTATATTTTAATGTCTTTTAATGTCCTGAGGCTGGTGACTTATTGAAGCTATTCTCATTTTGTCTAATTTATTCATTTTCTTTTAAAAACTTTTAAAACCTTGGGTTGTAAACTCTTATTTTTCTGCCTTTGAGAGTAAATATTCACAATGCTGTATGCAAACTTAGCTTTCTGAAGACAGAAGTGTAGGGTCCATAGCAGGTGAGCCCTAAGTTACATGTCGTATAGCTGGTCTGATTTCGAAAAGGCAGAGGAACCAGAAATCAAATTGCCAACATCCATTGGATCATAGAAAAAGCAAGAGAATTTCAGAAAAACATCTACTTCTGCTTCATTGACTACGATAAAGCTTTTGACTGTGTGGATCACAACAAACTGTGGAAAATTCTTCAAGAGATGGGAATACCAGACCACCTTACCTGCCTTCTGAAAAATCTATGTAGTCAAGAAGCAACAGTTAGAACTGGACATGGAACAACAGACTGGCTCCAAATTGGGAAAGGAGTATGTCAGGACTGTATATTGTCTCCCTGATTATTTAACTTATATGCAGAGTACACCATGCGAAATGTCAGGCTGGATGAAGCACAAGCTGGAATCAAGATTGCTGGGAGAAATATCAATAACCTCAGATATGCAGATAACAGCACCCTTATGGTAGAAAGTGAAGAGGAACTGAAGAGCCTCTTGATGAAAGTGAAAGAGGAGAGTGAAAAAGTTGTCTTAAAACTCAACATTCAGAAAACTAAGATCATGGCATCTGGTCCCATCAGTTCATGGCAAATAGATGGGAAAGCACTGGAAACAGTGAGAGACTTTATTTTCTTGGGCTCCAAAATCACTGCAGATGGTGATTGCGGCCATGAAATTAAAAGATGCTTGTTCCTTGGAAGAGAAGGAACAGCTATGCCAAAGCTGGACAGCATATTAAAAAGCAGAGGCATTACTTTACCAACAAAGGTCTGTCTAATCAAAGCTATAGTTTTTCCAGAAGTTCATGTACAGGTGTGAAAGTTGGACCATAAAGAAAGTTGATCACCAAAGAATTGATGCTTTTGAACTATGGTGTTGGAGAAGACTCTTGAGAGTCCCTTGGACTGCAAGGAGATCCAACCAGTCAATCCTAAAGGAAATCAGTCCTGAATATTCATTGGAAGGACTGAAGCTGAAGCTAATGTTTCCACCCTTAGGATGCCTGTTGTGAAGAACTGACTCATTGGAAAAGACCCTGATTCTAGGAAAGATTGAAGGCAGGATGAGAACGGGACAACAGAGGATGAGATGGTTGGATGGCATCATGGACTCAATGGATATGAATTTGGGCAAGCTGTGGGAGTTGGTGATGGACAAGGAAGCCTGATGTGTTGCAGTCCATGGGGTTGCAGAGAGTCAGACATGACTGAGTGACTGAACTGATAGCTGGTCTGCAGGTGCTGTGACTGCACTTCTCAGAGGAGGGATATGGCCACCTATGGACCTGGAAGGGTCAAGGTTGAAACTAATTTCAGGAAACATATTTGAAAGGAGTTGATGGGTAACAGTACTGAGATTGGAAGCTAAATGTGTGCGTGTGTGTGAGGTACTGTTTAATCTTGGCAGCTTGACAGTGTGCGTTAGCTCTGCGTCTTCCCAGAACTGCCCTGTGATGTCAGTAAATGGATAAAGTATGAATCTCTAGGACAAGAGAATGGAGAAATAATGACGTGTTTTTAGGCTCTATGGTTGATGATTAGAGGCACCTTATTTAGCCACAGCGAGGAAGGCAGCAGATGAATGAGCTGATGAAACCATGATGGTGGGCATTGTGGGTAGGTATGGCTTCTACACAACAGGCGATCACTTCTTCTGCGTTCCTGCAGAGAAGTTTGCTGTCTGGAGAAAGGGAACAAAGAGCCTCCAGAGTCAGGGACACCAGGCAATACTGTACCAGAGGCCCTAAATCAGAGCACAGTGCTGGAGAGGGAGAACAGCTCCACCTTGGTGATGAACACTGTGCTTAGTCACAGGCAAGAGACTGGACCTTTCTTATTTGGGCACATGGAATAGCCTGGGTAAAAGACCTGCTGGAAATAGATCTGGTAATGCCTTTGCTGCAGAACATAATGCTTGCTTGCAGCTCCTTATGTAAAAAAAGGTGTAAAAGGTGACAGAGGATAGAAGAAAAAAATAAACAGATTTACATAAAGATTATAGCATCAGATTCGCATTTAATAATTTAACTTCTTGACAATGATTAGCATGAAAGGCAATGATTATCCCTAACCCTAACCCTATTTGCAGGGCAGTAATAGAGATGCAGACATAAAGAACAGACTTGTGGACACAGAGTGGGAAGGAGAAGGTGGGACAAATTGAGAGAGTAGTTTTGACATATATACCCTACCGTATGTAAAATAGATAGCCAGTGGGAATTTGCTGTATCATGCAGGTAGCTCAACTCGGTGCTCTCTGACAGTCTAGAGGGGTGGTGGGATGGGGTGAGAGATGGGAGGGAGGTTCAAGAGGGATGGGACGTATGTATACCTATGGCTGATTCATGTTAATGTATGACAGAAACCAACACAACATTGTAAAGCAATTATCCTCCAATTAAAGATAAAATAATTTACCTTATCGATAGTAACTGGCATGAAAGGCAATGATTATACATAATTTTCAAATAAATACATTTATACAAATAAATTTTAAAAATTTTAACTATATGAATAATGTTGCTTAGAATTCTAAGGTTCAATAATGTAAGCGCCAGGTAACTATTATTTTTCTATGAGACTTAATAGTACTCTTTGATTTTATAAATTATGTGCATCTGTCTGATAAAAAATATAAAGTAATTCTTTCACAAAGTAATTTTTTCAAAGATCATTTCTAGCAATAACTTGAGAAAAACTTGGAGTTCTGAATGGTTCAGTGACAAGAACTGTTAATTAATGACAGTGACATTAACACACTTGCTAGATGAAGGCTCATGGAACCTAGCACAGAGCTGCAATGTACGGTGTACTCTTGTGCCGTTCTAACATAGCAAATGTAATATGTGGGGTCCACAGACATTCTGTGAAAAAATGAGGTGCAGAAATCTCCAGTGTAAGAGGAACATTAAACCTCAAGGATGAGTAGCTAGCTCTTGTGGAGCCATCACGGTAAACCAGGGACTAGACAGTTTTGGGTTAAGATTGCTTTTTCTGATTCACTTTCTGTCAAGTATCACTGGCCCTTTTCTGAAGAAGCAGCAGTTAATCTTTAATGCTCAGCATTTCCTTATTCTGAACTGCGGTAATTAAATCTGATAGTACCTAGTAATTTTCTCTGGATTGTACCTTTGGCTACTCTGTTTCTGAATAGCTATCACGTTGGCCAGAGTTAGGTCAGCTTTTGGCCAGAAACTGAATTATTTTTATTTGATGATTTTAACAGTTTTGGTAGTTCTTCAAAGCTATATTGAAATATGGCTTTTTTACTTGTTGAGCATCAAGTGGAGTAAGGTTGCCAGAGTTTAAAATTTTGAATGAAGAAAGATGAAAGTTTATGTTCAGTCCTGGCAACCTGGATTATAAAAATACTTTGCAAGACTTATTTACAGTTACTTTTAATTTAATGATAATTATAATTTTTAAAATTGTTGCTGTGGCTTACTCTGCATCACTTCACGTGCACATAACAGGCATTTGTGACAGGAAGGAGCCTGGACTGGTGCTTCTTTTCCTGTTCCTCACCTGGGCTGTCCCAGCCTTCCATGCCCACTCCCCTATGTGCTTTAGCTTGGCCGTGGGAAAACAAGAGAGTCAGGGCTTTATTCCGCCAGATGATTTGCTTGGCAAAGTTGGTGAACTCCAGCTGCCAGTCACCTCACCTTACTTTGCTGTCTTCCTTAACCCAGGGGTGGATCAAGCTTTGCCTCCAGAGCGCCGGGCTCCGGTCACTCCTTCCTCTGCCTCTCGCTATCACCGCCGAAGGTCCTCAGGGTCACGAGATGAGCGCTACCGGTCGGGTAAGGTGCCAGATGTAATGTGGGTGGTGGTGAAACACGTGAGTGGACACATGTCTGCAGAAGCTGTGTGAATGCACAGCAGTGTGTTCGGGTGTGTTTGTGGTTGGTTGTGATGTGCAGATGACCTCTTACCTCAGACATGGATACACCCTCCAGGGCACACAATAAAATTCAGTAAAAAGTAACTCTTTTTATATTTTTAAGATAGTGTCCATTATTTAGAATATTACAATAATTTAAAATGTAGTAACCTTTTGTAAGCCAAATTTTGCTCATTTTTTAGGTGTTACAAAGTTTAACACTGGTTTCAAAAAGCTTGGTTTTACTTTTCCTATCTTGGTTGCTAGTATTTTTTCCTTCTCTTTTAACTTCAGTGATTTGTTTTTCAAGTAGAGTTTTCAAAAAAGAAATAAAATTCTTCATAATTTGTGTGTTGTTTATTTCCTTTGTGTTTTATGACGCTGCATATAAAAATGCTCTCTTCATAATTCTGCTTTAGAGCAGTCATCTGGGCTTGACAGGTTTAAATTTCTTCCATTAATTTAGCATCAGGAAAGTTGTATTGTGATTAATGTTTAACTCTTATTTTCTCCGCTACCATCTGGATTCCAGTTGTTTTTTACTGATGTCCTAACTATAATTTTTTTTAAAGAAAATGATAAGTGTTGTTGCTGGGACACCAGTTCAGGGTACATGTGGTGCTGATGATGACAGTCCAAACTATAACATTTATATATTGCTTTATATTTTCAAGTGCTTGCAATGGTGTTACCTCAGTTGGTTTTTATAACAGAAAGGTGGCATACTTATGGCTGTTTTGTGCTGCAGAAGAGGAAGCTGAGGCTGCAAAAAGTGAAGTAGCTCAGCCACTTCACATGGAGGCAGGTGATCAGCCCTGTGAGCCTCTCAGTGTTGTGAGTCTTTCCCTTATTGGGGACTTGAAGGATAAGCTGCCACCCTTCCCACCAAGCTCAGGAGCTGTGTGCTTGACTTCCTGGCCCAGCTCTCCTTTCTAGATGGGAAGATGGCATAAGACAGACTTTATGGCATCAGGAATCTTTATGTGCAGAAGCAAGAAGAATGGACTGGAGAAACTAGGAAGAAGGTCAGTGCAGCTTCACTGCTGCTCCTTTTGCCTTCTTGGCTGTCTCAGGCCTGATGCCTGGGACAGTGTGTGGGGGTGGGATGAAGGCAGGGGTTTGTAACCAAATTTACGTTCTGTGTTTTCACAGTTAGTTTTATCCTAGCACATACCAAGAGCTCGTCTTACTTTATTCAGGCATCTCAGAGGCCCCTTTCAGATTAATTAGAAGGGTGGCACATACATATGTGCTGTCAACTTGCTGTGGAATGTTAAGATTTACTCCCTTGTCTTGATTCTGTTGTGCATTTTATATATCATGCACACAGATGTAGATACATGTACATAGTCACACAAATGGGAGACATGCAGGTAGAGACCCACATGTACACACACACACAGACATATGTGTAGGCATGTGTATAGACAGACAGTAGACAAGTGCTCACTCCTATCCATATCTTTTGGCACTTGGACTTTATCCTGAAAATGATAGGGTTCCATTCAAAGGTTTTAAGCAGAGTCACAACTGGAGCAGGTTGGGGTTTGCAGATGACTTTGGTAACACTGTGGAGTATGAGTTAGAAGGGAGGATCTGGAAGCCCCTGGACACCTGAGGTATTTGTACAGGATATGAGTCAGTGCCAGTGAGATGTGAGATGTGGTGAGTTAAGGCAGGGGTATGTGAGAGAGGGGATTTTGGTGACTCTGAGATGTCTAGGTTGTACAGCTGTATAGATGATCCTCTCTGGGTCTGCCATTCCAGAATTCAGTTTCCCATTTGTAGGTTAAAGGTGGTGGAATTTTCCCCAGCTATTTACTTACTATGTAGAGAATATGTGAAAAATAGTTCAGGTATTCCTTCAATTATCATGTAAGATGTGAAAAATACTATTCCATATATAGTTTAAAATTTTTTTTTTAAATTTACACTCTCAATTTTGAATAAATAATGACTGCTTAGTGTTAAGGAGCACACATATCCAGAGGATCTTTCCATGTGCTTTTGAAAGCTCAGCTGTGTTCTCATTTTCTTTAACTGACTCAGTGCCACCATCATATGGGATGATATCCACCCTAGAGGAAAACTAAGGAGGGCCTTTGGGGCATCCCTGGGCTCATTTGATAGTCTCCTTTGCTATGTCATTATCTGCTGTTTCCTGGTTTTAAAATACTCTAATTAGTTTTCTTAATTTAGGCATTTCAATGCTAAGTTACTTTCTTTTAGAGTTTATGCTCATATATTGTTTTTTTTTTAAGTGGTATAAAATCTTAGAAGCTTGTTTTAATCTGTTTTGAGTGTACATGTTTCAGGATTTTATTTTCTCCTGTACCAGCACAGAAGATATAGGACATTTAAGAGAAAAGGTTTTGTGACTCTCAGAATATTTTGCTTTCTAAAATTCTTTGACCACTTGCAGTAGAATTACTTTGGTTGTTTCAATGACCAAATTTATCAGCCAAGAGGTAATTCTGTTATCCTTTAGACAGTTGACCTAATTAATAGTCAATCTGGTCAACCATATAGCCACAGACTTAATATCTCTTGGCTATATATTTTCATTTCTAAACCCATTGCTTTACATGGTAATGAACTCCTACTGGAATTCTTTATAGAGTAATTTGTGCCTCTCTTTTTAAATAATTTCCTTTGGGAACTAAAATTTGATTTGGAAAGTGAATGAATAAATAGGCATTTACCAAACCTAGAAAACATCTGTTTACCTTGTGCTCATTCCAGCTCGAATGTCATGGAGTGCTGTCTTCCTCCTGGAGGAAGAGCTCAGAGTACAGGGAGCTGTGGGGCGATTCAAGACCGTTTCAGGAAAGTCTGTGAGGACAAGCCATTTCCAGGATAATACTAACACGTTACTTGCCTCTTTTAGTCTCATTCTTTTGTGAATGTACAGTGGGTTTTTTCCGAGGCTGCCTGACATGATGATGTTATCATTCTTACACCTAGTGGAATCCATGATTATGAAGTCATGTATTTTAAAAAGTTTTTCAGTTTCCTTTCTAATTCAGTAAATATCAAAGCATTAATCCCATAAGTAAAACTTTAAAGGTTTTCATCAATTTTGGGGTATAAATCAGAAAATAACATTTTCTTACTTAGAAGACTTAAATCAGACTGCATACTCCACTTAGTATTCCTAGTGAAAGACAAGCTCTGTCTGTGTAAAGCTGAATCATCCAGCATGGCGGACAGTATGCACAAGAGAAATTTTATACTTAAATTAATGAAATTAAATAAGATTTGAAATTCTATTTCTGTGCTTTTTTTTTTTTTACTAGCCACGTTTTAAGACAAGTGACTACTATACTGGGCAGTGCAGATGTGGAAAATCACCACCACAGCAGAAAGTTGTCTTTCATAGTGCTGTGCTAGGTTGTGCCAAACGTTGTGTAAGAATGGAGGAGAAGGCAGAAGATGCAGCTGAAGACAGTTTTTAAAGGTCTGCTTGTCGAAAACTAATAAAGCTTGATAGTTATGCCTCGTCATTTAACAGAAGAAGACACAGTCAGAGTTGGATTTCAGAAATATGTATAGGTAGTTGGGTTGGAGTAGGTTCCTCGTTGAAGCAGGGACGTGTTAAGAGGATTTGTATTTCAGGTAAAAAAAAAAAAGTGATTCATCAATTTATGGGATACACCAAAACAGTACTTAGACATTGATGCAATAGTTATCAAAAAATACTTATATTAGGTAGGAAGAGATCCTGGAAATTAAATAAGGATTTAACTTAAGAAGCCAGAAAAGAGAAATTGAATGAGTGCACAAGAAGAAGTGAGAAAATAATGAGAAAAAAAATGGAATAGAGGATGTAGACTTGGTTTCCACTTGGGCATGTGGTGGAAGCACAGAAATCCTCATACACATCCTTACACAAGAAAAGGTTTCAGTTCAGTTCAGTTCAGTCCCTCAGTCATGTCTGACTCTTTGAGACCCTGTGGACTGCAGCACGCCAAGCCTGCCTGTCCATCACCAGCTCCCAGAGCTTGCTCAAACTCATGTCCATTGAGTCAGTGATGCCATCCAACCATCTCATCCGCTGTCGTCCCCTTCTCCTTCCTTCAATCTTACCCAGCATCAGGGTCTTTTCCAATGAGTCTGTGCTTCGCATCAGGTGGCCAAAGTATTGGAGTTTCAACTTCAGCATCAGTCCTTCCAGTGAATATTCAGGACTGATTTTCTTTAGGGTTGACTGGTTGGATCTCCTTGCAGTCCAAGGGACTCCCAAGAGTCTTCTCCAACACCACAGTTCAAAAGCATCAATTCTTCAGCGCTCAGCTTTCTTTATAGTCTAACTCTGACATCCATACATGACTACTGGGAAAGCCATAGCTTTGACTAGATGGACCGTTGTTGGTAAAGTAATGTCTCTGCTTTTTAATATGTTGTCTAGGTTGGTCATAGCTTTTCTTCCAAGGAACAAGCGTCTTTTCATTTCATGGCTTCAGTCACCATCTGCAGTGATTTTCGAGTCCAAGAAAATAAAGTCTCTCACTGTTTCCAGTGCTTCCTCATCTATTTCCCATGAAGTGATAGGACCAGATGCCATCATCTTAGTTTTCTGAATGTTCCAAGTTTTAAGCCAACTTTTTCACTGTCCTCTTTTACTTTCATCAAGAGGCTCTTTAGTTCTTCTTCACTGTCTGCTGTGAAGGTGGTGTCATCTGCGTATCTGAGGTTATTGATAATCTTCTCCTGACAGTCTTGATTCCAGCTTGTGTTTCATCCAGCCTGGCATTTTGCATGATGTACTCTGCATATAAGTTAAATAAGCAGGTTGACAGTACTCTTTTCCCGATCTGGAACCAGTCTGTTGTTCCATGTCCAGTTCTAACTGTTGTTTCTTGACCTGCCAGCAACCTTTGTTTAAGGCATTAAAGAACTGAGGTCATTGGGCAAACTGCT